TTTGGTTGATCTGTCGTTTCTGATACGAATCTTGGACTCGATTGAAGAAAGTGAACTTTTGAATAAAGACAATAAAATTGAAGATCTTCTTAAAGATCATGCGGGAAAAGTCCTTCAAAATCTTGGAATCACGGAAATGAAAGGATTTAATACAATTTATGAAGAATTTCTCGCGGATTTTACACGCAAAATTAAAAATGTAAAATTACATATTTTGGAATTTATAGTCGAAAACCTCATTTTTATTTACTCCCAAAATTACTTTAAGTGAACCCATACAAGTTACACCCCCAAGTTACCCACCATTACGCACACATACACACCCATACTATTTTTTTCACACCCAATGGAGTATGAAAAATAAAGTTTGACTGTAGATTTTGGAGAAAGTAGAAAAGGCATAAAATTGGTTCGGTTAACGGGAAAATAAAATGAGTGGGAAAACACACTTAACAAGATTGTCAGTAAGAAATCGAACCTAAGAATCGAGGTGTTCGCTTCCCGTTATCCGATGATTCTTTTGAACCGTTAAGCTTACACTCAAAACTTAAAACTAAAATATTTTAATTTATATTTAGGTAATTGTCTACTATAATATGCTCCGAAGGACATATTTTAATAACATTGAACAAATAATGCAAAAGGAAGGTATATTAATACGTAGGAGTGCCTCGGCCTCCCTACAAGAAGGAGGGAGTCTGAAGAACTTCCCTTCGGCCTCCTACCTCCCTACATCCTCCCTCCCTACATTTTGGGAACCCTTGGGACGAGAAGGTGTTACCTTATAATGAGATTTATATCAGTGATCTAGCCGACGTAGAAATTAAATTCCCAATTTTAGGAAATCGGAAGCCTGACTTAAAAAATCCCGACTCAAAATCGAGTGATCTCGACTCAAAAAAGTATTCCAGATTTTCGGAAATCGGGTCGGCTAGACCCCTGGTGTATATCAAGGATGAGCTGTCAGTTTTATGTTTTTTAAAATTAGCCCATTGGAGGGGGGAGGGGGTAGAGGTAGGGTTGGGGTGGAGGAGTAGGGGTAGAGGAGTAGGGGTAATGTGGTAGTCTCTCAGCTCTCCCTGTCTGCCTTATAGTCTATAGTAGAGGTAGGGTTGGGGTAGAGGAGTAGGTGTAGAGGTGGTAGTCTCTCTATCTCCCTGTCTGTCTTATAGTCTATAGTAGAGGTAGGGTTGGGGTGGAGGAGTAGGGGTAGAGGAGTAGGGGAAAGGTGGTAGTCTCTCAGCCCTCCCTGTCTGTCTTATAGTCTATATAAGACAGTCTAATAGTCAAACTTATTAAATAATATTGCATATAGTATTAGGTTGTACATATTTAAAAATGATTATTTTTGATATTAAGATGATAACTCAAAAATAGGGAAATTATTTCAGAATCCTCAATAATTAAAAAATATAATCATTAATTTAAATACAAGTATTTTATTTTAAAGTTAAAGAAAAAGTTAATTTTGCTGTTGAAATACTCTATGATTATTCACAAAAATTGCCGGATGAATATAATATCCTTGCAAATAATTATTATATAAATATGGAAGTGGATGAGGATCCCAGCCATCGTTTATATTCAAAATTGGTTAAACTTCAAATAAAAAATTCACTACATAATTTACAGTTAATTTTTGATTTTATTTAAATTAAAAATTATTTGGGTAGTCACTGGAGAAATTATATAAGTAGGGCTTTACGCTAAAAATCTTGCTTTTTGCGCCGCAGATAGGGGCATAAAAATACTCGGTTTTAACCGAGTACGTCGAGTAGGAAGTTTCCGAGCTCGAGTAATATGAGTATTATGATCCCGAGTTCCGAGTCGAGTAATTACGCAAAAAACCCGAGCGATCGAGTCGAGTAACTCGAACTCGCTCGAGTAAACTGATTTTTGGAAAAGTAAGAAGCTGTAGAAGCCAGAATTATTCTTTTTCGGCTCTGCAGACAAAAATTTTCGGAAATTTTTCTGGCCAATAAGCCAAATATTTATCACTTTCACCGACCCCTAAAAAGTACGGGAAAAACTAACTATACTGTAGTTAACAGGTCATTGCAGTAGAAGCCTAGTGCAGCCAAGCTTTTTATCATTAACTTTTAGAACAATGAAAGTTCATATTTATTAAAAAAATTTTTTTTAAATTTAAGTGTGAGAGGCAAACTAGATGAATTACTAGAAAAAATAATAAATCGCCCACAAGGTGAAGAAAATATTTATTTTTTCTATCATTTGTTGGCATTAGCAAGAACGTTAATTAAAATGCTTTTTAACAATGGAGACCATGGAATGAAGTATCACCATTTTTACACCCAACTTCTTTCAGAAACAAAGTATGTAGATAGACATGGATATACTAGACTAGTAGTGTTTCGAAATTTCGATTTTGATTTAGTTTTCTTTTGATTACCAAGTTGTGAGTTTGTGGTTATTGGTTATTAGAGGTGGGTCGGAACAGTCAGAGGTGTCGGTTATCGGAAATCATGAATCAGAAAAGAATTTAAACGGAGATTATGGGGGCACCTACGTACCGAAAGTTGAAGCACCTACGTACCGAAAGAATCGGAAGGAAAAAGTGTCGAAAATCGGAATTCCGACCCACATCTGTTGATTATTTACTCTCTCATTTTCCCTAAATCCAATCTCTTCTATTTGATGTGCAAATTATTGTTTGGTTTGAAATTATTCGAGATTTTGATTTCAAAAAAGAGTTAGAGATATTCTGAGGCGGTATTTTCAAAATTACAGACCAAAAAATTTTAGAAAAATTTCCAGAAAATTTTCCAAACCTAAAAATTTTGCTTCTGATATCTATCAACATTCGGTATTGGCAAATATTGGGAAAACCGAACACCGATTTTGTTCACTTTTAATAACGAATCGGTATCAGATTCTCAAATCCACTGTCCGTTTAACAAATCCTGATACCATTCATCTCCCTATTTTGTGAGAAAGAATATTATTAATTTACTTAATAATAATTTTAAATAAAATTTTTTAGAGAGGCAGTTTCGTTTTTTGAATATACAGAAGCTTTTGATAAATTGGAAACGCGTGCTAATAATTTATATGAAAAATTGGACTTGGTTGTTTACAAAACCGTGAAGAATTTTAATGTTAATAAAGGCGGAGGAGGTATTTAAATAAATAAACGACCTACTGTAATTTGGGGAGGTATTTATGGTTATCTCGAGATTCCATAGTGTTGATTAGGGTTGGGCGGGATCGGGATCCCGACATAAAATCGTGATCGGGATTCGGAATAGTGATCACGATCCCACCCTACTTTAGTATTTAATCATGGGCATCTCTTAAAAGAATTTAAATGGAGATTATGTGGGTCACTCAGTACAGAGACCAATACTTTGAGTATCAAAAAGCACTTGTACCGATGAGTATTTAAAATTCCAAAATCTTATCGGTACAGTAGAAATAGGGAGTATCTCCCTAGTTTTTTAAGGGAGTATCTCGGTAGCAGCAAAGTTTAGGGAGTATCTCGGAGTAGCAAATTTGCCTGACACTGGTTTTGTTGCTTAAATTTCAGTGCTTGTAAAATACATCAAAGTAGTGCAAGATTTGGCAACAGTGGAAAAAGAGTTGGAAACTGGTTTTAATGCAGTTTTTCGTCCTGATGGAAAAACTGAAAGTTATGAAGTCTTTGGGCACTACAAAGAGATTGTTTTTAAATTTAAAAGTAATTATTTAATAATTTACCGGATTTACTCAAACCCACCCAGCGAGATGTTGAAGCAATAGTAGCCCAGAGTATTTGAGTAAATACGATATTTAAAATTTGTCATGAAAATTGTTGAGATTTGTTTGAGATTTTGAGCTAGAGCGTCAGGTAACACAATCAGTACAGCACCTGTCGAAATGTCTCAGAAAGCTTCAGAATGTTTAGAATCTTGTAGCATCTATATGCCTTTCCGGGCTTAACTTCTATTTCTTTCCCACATTAATTGATGGGTGTTCTTCTATGTCAGGGTTGTCCGAAGAACCGAGGATTTTTCGGTTCGGTTTCGGATATCCGAAGAATTTTTAGGAACCGACAACCCTATTCTATGTTTAAAATTAAAGTTCTCTCACTTGCAAAAATTATCTAAAGGCCTCTAATCGGAGCAGCATTTCAGTGGTTTTCCGTTTCCTAGTTCCTTAAATCATTCTCAGTCTTATGGCTTACTTTTCAGCTTTTAATTAAAAATTATCAATTATCTACTAAAAAAAATTTTTTTTAAAGGAATTGATCCTTCAATGCTGCAAGGAACCCACCCAACATTTTTGGAAGGTCCTCCTCGCCAAGTTAATGTCTATAAATTCTTTTATTCTCAATATCTCACAAATAACCCCCATCTTCGAGATTATTTACAAGAATATCTTATAAATCACCAATTGATTGAACAAATGGAAAATGAAAATATTATTTACCAGGGAGATTTTTGTTATTTGATTGGTATTTTTAATTATCAGAATGGGTCAAATCTGCAAATTCCTCCACATAGACGCTTGGTAATTATGAAATATTTATTTTTAAGATAAATAATAAAACATTCATCTCATTAATTTCAATTAAACCTTGACATTTCGAAATTTTCAGGGCATTTAGTAGTTAGGGTAAGTTTAGTTAGAGGACAACATTTTGACAAGAGGGCTTTTTATTTTGCTTGGAAAAGCTTGAATATCCCTGTTTTGTCTTCAGCTACCGGTTTAAACCCTGAAAAATAGGGTTGGGGTTCTCGAATCGGCCCGACCGAGTCTTTTTCGGGCCAAAATTCAATGCCCGACTCGATCTTTCGGACCGGACCGGTTCGGGCCCCTAACCCTACTGAGAAATCCTGGTCTTAGCCTGCCTTTAACTGATGTAGTAACTACGTGACTGTGTAATATTTATAATTAAATATTTATAAGAAAGATAAGAATATTTGGCTAATTAAGCCTAAAACTATGTCATATTTTATTAATTTTCTATAAAAATTTATTAGATCGGCGTTTATTTTGATCAATGCGATGTTGGCGATATTGGATATGATGCTGGTGAGCGCGCTATTGGGGAAAGCAGCCAGCCTGGAATTGAAAGTCATACAGAACATTCTGAAGCCGAAGGTCATTCTGAACAAATAGGAGGTTATGGAGAGGGAGATGTAGGGGAAAGTAGTCATAATATTGAAGGCGAAGTTAGTCAAACTCCCCATTCGCAAACTGGAGATTATGAAAGTGATCAAGGAAGCCATCATGAAGGGATTGAAGAAATGCCCAGTAGTCATCATGGAAGTGGAAGTAATGTTGGCAGCCATACAAGTCATCGTGGAAGTCGGAGCGATGTTGGCAGCCACATAAGTCATCATGCTAGTGGAAGTTCTAGCGGTAGAAGCAGCCAAGGAAATGGAAAGAGTGGTCTCTTTTCTTGCTTCGGTTTTGACTGCTTTCGTGGCAAGAATGGGAAATCTTGAGGAAGGATGACAAGATTTTTAATGAAATTTTCAATCTTAGTTTAGTTTATTTGGTTGTTAATGGGATATTTTTATTTAAAGAAATTCAAGTTTATTTTAGAAATTTTAGCCATTTCGTTGGACATTCGTAGAAATTTTAAATTTTTTTTAAGAAATTTTATTTTTGCTAATTTTTGGTTATTAAAATTAATTTTTAGTTATTAGATAAATTTTTTTTAGTTTTTTTTTAAAGTTAGGTATATTTTAGAAGTTTGAACATAATTTGTAAAACTTTTCCTCCACTTGGAAGGTGATTGAGCTCTTTATCCTCCCCTTGGAAGGTGATTGAGCTCTTTATCCTCCCCTTGGAAGGTTATTGAGCTCTTTATCCTCCCCTTGGAAGGTGATTGAGCTCTTTATCCTCCCCTTGGAAGGTGATTGAGCTCTTTATCCTCCCCTTGGAAGGTGATTGAGCTCTTTATCCTCCCCTTGGAAGGTGATTGAGCTCTTTATCCTCCCCTTGGAAGGTGATTGAGCTCTTTATCCTCCCCTTGGAAGGTGATTGAGCTCTTTATCCTCCCCTTGGAAGGTGATTGAGCTCTTTATCCTCCCCTTGGAAGGTGATTGAGCTCTTTATCCTCCCCTTGGAAGGTGATTGAGCTCTTTATCCTCCCCTTGGAAGGTGATTGAGCTCTTTATCCTCCCCTTGGAAGGTGATTGAGCTCTTTATCCTCCCCTTGGAAGGTGATTGAGCTCTTTATCCTCCCCTTGGAAGGTTATTGAGCTCTTTATCCTCCCCTTGGAAGGTGATTGAGCTCTTTATCCTCCCCTTGGAAGGTGATTGAGCTCTTTATCCTCCCCTTGGAAGGTGATTGAGCTCTTTATCCTCCCCTTGGAAGGTGATTGAGCTCTTTATCCTCCCCTTGGAAGGTGATTGAGCTCTTTATCCTCCCCTTGGAAGGTGATTGAGCTCTTTATCCTCCCCTTGGAAGGTGATTGAGCTCTTTATCCTCCCCTTGGAAGGTGATTGAGCTCTTTATCCTCCCCTTGGAAGGTGATTGAGCTCTTTATCCTCCCCTTGGAAGGTGATTGAGCTCTTTATCCTCCCCTTGGAAGGTGATTGAGCTCTTTATCCTCCCCTTGGAAGGTGATTGAGCTCTTTATCCTCCCCTTGGAAGGTGATTGAGCTCTTTATCCTCCCCTTGGAAGGTTATTGAGCTCTTTATCCTCCCCTTGGAAGGTGATTGAGCTCTTTATCCTCCCCTTGGAAGGTGATTGAGCTCTTTATCCTCCCCTTGGAAGGTGATTGAGCTCTTTATCCTCCCCTTGGAAGGTGATTGAGCTCTTTATCCTCCCCTTGGAAGGTGATTGAGCTCTTTATCCTCCCCTTGGAAGGTGATTGAGCTCTTTATCCTCCCCTTGGAAGGTGATTGAGCTCTTTATCCTCCCCTTGGAAGGTGATTGAGCTCTTTATCCTCCCCTTGGAAGGTGATTGAGCTCTTTATCCTCCCCTTGGAAGGTGATTGAGCTCTTTATCCTCCCCTTGGAAGGTGATTGAGCTCTTTATCCTCCCCTTGGAAGGTGATTGAGCTCTTTATCCTCCCCTTGGAAGGTGATTGAGCTCTTTATCCTCCCCTTGGAAGGTGATTGAGCTCTTTATCCTCCCCTTGGAAGGTGATTGAGCTCTTTATCCTCCCCTTGGAAGGTGATTGAGCTCTTTATCCTCCCCTTGGAAGGTGATTGAGCTCTTTATCCTCCCCTTGGAAGGTGATTGAGCTCTTTATCCTCCCCTTGGAAGGTGATTGAGCTCTTTATCCTCCCCTTGGAAGGTGATTGAGCTCTTTATCCTCCCCTTGGAAGGTGATTGAGCTCTTTATCCTCCCCTTGGAAGGTGATTGAGCTCTTTATCCTCCCCTTGGAAGGTGATTGAGCTCTTTATCCTCCCCTTGGAAGGTGATTGAGCTCTTTATCCTCCCCTTGGAAGGTTATTGAGCTCTTTATCCTCCCCTTGGAAGGTGATTGAGCTCTTTATCCTCCCCTTGGAAGGTGATTGAGCTCTTTATCCTCCCCTTGGAAGGTGATTGAGCTCTTTATCCTCCCCTTGGAAGGTGATTGAGCTCTTTATCCTCCCCTTGGAAGGTGATTGAGCTCTTTATCCTCCCCTTGGAAGGTGATTGAGCTCTTTATCCTCCCCTTGGAAGGTGATTGAGCTCTTTATCCTCCCCTTGGAAGGTGATTGAGCTCTTTATCCTCCCCTTGGAAGGTGATTGAGCTCTTTATCCTCCCCTTGGAAGGTGATTGAGCTCTTTATCCTCCCCTTGGAAGGTGATTGAGCTCTTTATCCTCCCCTTGGAAGGTGATTGAGCTCTTTATCCTCCCCTTGGAAGGTGATTGAGCTCTTTATCCTCCCCTTGGAAGGTGATTGAGCTCTTTATCCTCCCCTTGGAAGGTGATTGAGCTCTTTATCCTCCCCTTGGAAGGTGATTGAGCTCTTTATCCTCCCCTTGGAAGGTGATTGAGCTCTTTATCCTCCCCTTGGAAGGTGATTGAGCTCTTTATCCTCCCCTTGGAAGGTGATTGAGCTCTTTAAAATTAGAGCTCGTCAAGTTCGAGGGGTCTTAGTGCCTCGGAATGGGTTCTCTCCAAGAACCTCATTGAGGCCGGAGGCTAAATATATACCTTTAAAAATTGTCTTTTGCTCAAAAAGTGGAAGATCAGAGCATTTTACAGGGTGACAAGAATGAAAAAGAAGAAAAAAAAGGAAAATTTTTACCAAAAAGTTTTCTACGCGCCTTCGACTTTGTATCCAAGGGAAATGTAGGCCCTTCAAAAATTCCTGATTATTCTTGTTCCATGTTTAATTCTCTATCATAAAAGCTTTATTTAATCCCAGTATCTTGCAATTGAATAAATTTAAGGTATAAATTTTGTACCAGGGCTGGGCGCAATGAAAAAATAAAAAGCGAAATGCGAAACTTTTCGCACTAAAAAATGCGAGAATGCGAAAGATGCGAAATTGCGAAATAAGCCCAGCCCTGTTGTTTGTCCCATTAATTTCTTGACACCCTGTAATATCGACAACTAAAATTTTAAATTTAATTTAATTGAAATTTTGCAAAAAAAAATTTTTTTTTGAAATATATTTTTGGATAAAACTCGATTATAGTTTGGGCAATTTATTTAAAATCACATGCAAATTTTAAAAGCAAATACATAAAAATAATTTTTTAAAATAAAATTTAAAATGAATTTAGCTAGAAAGCTTTAATTTGCTTGAAGTAATCCATTAATTTTGCCAACACTTTTTTAATTTTCAATTCAATTTTCTTTTTTAGCCGGGATTCTCGTTTTGTTTATTCGGGAATTTTTATTTCTACTATTATTTTCCTTTCCTCCCGAGATATAGCGAGAATAAATAGGTAGAGGTTGAGCGGAATCTTTGGAGATTAGGGATGTCGGTTTCAAACAGAACCAAAAACTTCTTTTCATTTTGGCTAGGTTGACCGTAGACTTTGTTAAGACCGAAAATTTTATCTCTCAAGATAAAATCTCATCCAATTTTTTAAGTTTTCGGGATCGGTTTGGTCTCCTTATTATTGTTACTTTACAAGGTTATATACAGGTATTATTTGGAGATTGTCGGTTTCAAAGGGAACCGAAAACCGGAGATTTTAATTTTTGTTTAGCGAAGAATTTGGTAAAACCGACAAACATCTGAGATCTCTCAAGATAAAATCCCATCCCATTTTTTAAGTTTCCTGGGATCGGTTTAGTCGCTTTATTATTGTTAGGTTACGAGGTTACCCAACAAATTAATGCTCAATAATATAATGTTGCCATTTTATGCTCAATATAGGTAGTTTGGTATCACTAAAAGGTATCGCTTATTATCACCTGTATTTACATTTTAGTATCACCGTGTATCTCTCAACGGACCTCTGTTTTACGTACACCTTGGGGAAACTCTGTATTCTATAATGAGGCGTATTTTAAATTTGGTGTGTCATTTAGGTTCATTTTCACCCTATTACCCTATCTTAAATGGTGCTGCATTTAGCCTGTTTTATAGGTTCCGCTAATTGTTTCACACAACGGAACCTTTTGAGAAACACTTGTATTGAGGTTATTTTTAAAATGAGGTCTGTAGCAAAAGCAAAAACAATAAAAAATTTTGATATTTCCTCTCCCGTTTGAGTTTTCTCGAATTTTTCTCCTCGTTTCCATCCCCAATCTCGAGATAAATATTATTTGCTTTAAAATAGAAAAAAATTAAAAATTTGAATAAATTCACGTGAATTTGCCTTGTATATTTTATAAAAAAAAATTTTATTATAAAATTTAATAAAATAGTTTGGAGGAGAGCTTATAAAATTAAATTTTACTTCGAGGATAATAAATATTTTTAAAATATATTCTCTATATTTAAATTAAAAAAAATATTATTTTAATAATAATGAAATTGACTTTAATTTTCTGTCTTTTGGTATCAATAGCTCTTATCTTCTACGTTAATGAGATTAATGGAAAGGTCTGTTTTAATTCGTATATTTCCAGGTATTTTAATATTTAGAATAAGTTTTTAGCAAAACTTAGCCACATGGCAGGATTCGAACTTGCGCGATGTTAACACTGATTCCTGGCATCACTTACCGTATTTTCTCGATTAATTCCCCTGGGGAATTAATTCCCCCCCCCCCCACTCTAGCATGGGGAATTAATTGAGAGAGGGAAATTATTCGAGGGAGGGGAATTAATCGAGAAAATACGGTAGATTAGAGTTGGGTGAGATCGGGATCCCAACATAAAATCGGATTTTCCAATAATTATCCCGACTCGGGATCGGTATTCACTAAAAAATTTTAAATGTTTATTTCCCTCAAAAGAGGGATAAATTCACAAAAGGGATAATTTTTTTTTCATTCCTCCTAATTTTTCATTCCTCCTAAATATTTAAAAAAAAATAATCTCCATGGGAAACGAAAAAAGAAAACGTGATAAATCGATCAGTTTGGATAGTGAAAGTGATAAAGCACCGCTTTTATCACCAGAACAACTTGAACAAATTTCTCGTAATGTGGTTCAACTTCTTACACCAATAATCGAGACAACAATTAAAACTCTTTTTCAACAATTAAATCAGCAAACTAGCAACAGTCAACAAACTTTTGAACTCAAACAGCAAACATCAAGATGGGGATGTCCCCCCAATCTAATG